CTTAAGTAAAGAAAACCACCTAGTTATTTAAACACAAAGAATTTAATGTCTGGAATTTGTTAAGTAGATATCGGAAGACTAGAAAGTAAAGAGAGAATGTTAAGGTAACACAGAGATAGAATTGCAGGAGAAGCTACCACCTCTTGGACTGAGGGAACAGAGTGAGGTTGTGGTTGTTAGTACTTAGGAGAGAAAAGGGCCTTGAAATTCTGGGCCACAGGCCTCGAGGAGGAGCCTTTTCTTGGTAGCTGCTCATACCTCAGAATCTCAAGGGAGGAATTGCATGAATTTGGGTTCGGGGAGAGAAACAATGAGTGCTGGGAACCTCTGAAAGATGTAAGTAGGCTGGTTCTGGGAATGTGGAAAATATGCTTGATCAATTGCTTTTTCTAGGATGAAGAGCTGTTGGTGGGATGAGGCCAATAGGATCGCAAGCATGTAGAAATGACTAGGTCTCTTTCTCCCTCTTTAGCTTTGTAATCTCACATGGAGTGCTCCTTAGAAAATAGACCAGGTTTCATGAAAAGGTCATGTATGCAAAGCAATCTCCAAACAAGAAAGGAGCCAAGAAACCAAAGAATAAGACAGACAAAATCAGTTTTTTGATAAAGGGTAATTTATTGGGGGAACTTATAGACGGAAGTGTGGCCTGCGGTAACAAGACAGGTAGATCTCCACACCATTACCCCCCAGACCCAGGGCTTACCTGGGAAGGGGATACATGCACTATAGAGACAATTAAAGACAACCCCCCAGAACAGGCAGGAGTGCTATGTGCATCATAACCTATCATTTGTGTGATAACATCAAGTTTGCTTTGGTCTAAAGGCAGGATTTACAGTAAATATGTGTTCTTACACTAAGGACAGTAAATAAAGTAGGAATCCGAAGGCATTTATGGGACTGAAGTTAATGAGAAGTCAACATGGTGGATTAGCATCCAAGGTGAAGTTACTTTTGTCTCCATAGACCAGTAGGAAAAAAAAAAAAAAAAAGGTAGCTTGCAGAATGCCAGGGTACGCATTAAATTCCAAACATAGAAAAGTGTTTTCGATGTTAGGAGCTAGCCTAATAACTCGTAGTTGGCAAAGTCTGTTATTTCTGCCTCCTAAACTCTAGAGTTTATCTTATTCTTTCTATCCACACTGCCGCTCTTCTGCCCCAGGCAACTATTATCATGCAGCTCACCTAATGCAGTAACCTCCTAACTACTTGCTGTTTCTTCTTTCCTGCCTCAGATCCACTCTCTCTACAACAGCCAGTGTGAGCTTTACTATATAAATAAAATTCTGATCACAACACTTCTCTACTTAAATCTCTCCAATGGGAGCCAATTTTACAGTAAGTAGCTAGTCAGACATGAGCAGAGTGGGAGAGGGCTCCCCCCACCCACCAGGAATGTCAGGTGAACATTCGGTGATAGTAAGGAGTTTGTTAACTGTCTGTCTAAATAATAGTTGAGGGTCAGGCATGGTGGCTCACGCCTGCAATCCCAGCAATTTAGGAGGTCAAGGTGGGCAGATCACCTGAGGTCAGGAGTCTGAGACCAGCCTGGCCAACATGGTGAGACCCTATCTCTACTAAAAATACAAAAATACAGGTGCCAGGCGCCTGTAATCCCAGCGACTCTGGAAGCTGAGGCAGGAGAATCACTTGAACCCGGGAGGCGGAGGTTGTAATGAGCTGCGATTGCACCACTGCACTCCATCCTGGGCAACAGAGCAAGACTCCATCTCAAAAATAAATAAATAAATAAATAATAAAACAATAATTGGTCACAGCCAGTGCTAGGGAAAGGCCATCCAACAGATAGAAAAAACTTGAAACTGGTGATCAGCAGCTTCCTGATAAGATCTCAGGAGCTGGGCAAGTGGACTTAAGCATGCACATTAAGATGCAAAATGGCAGAGTTTAACTGGTATATTACCTCCTAGGGACATTCAACTGGTAAGGGAAGAGTGAGTGCTTCAAGTGAGCATGCGTACAACTTCAGTAAACACACTGTGCATGCTCCCCTCCCAAATTCTGGTGGGCCACTCTGAACATGTGGACAGCCCACGGAAGGGAAGAATCAGGTGAGAAGGAATGCAGGACCCTGGAAGTATGCCAACGTATGAAAACCAAGAGTCAAAAGTCACACTGCACACTTGTCTTTCAAGTTGCCCGCTTAGTCCTCTTCCAAACGTACTTTACTTTGTTTATTCCTGCTCTAAAGCTTTTTAATCAACTGTCGCTCCTGCTCTAAAACTTGCCCTGATCTCTTCTTCCATCTTCTGGCCCAGTCAAATTCTTTCTTCTGAGAAGGTAAGAATTGAGTTTGCTGCAGACCCATACAGATTCACTGCTGGCCGGTAACATATTTTGGTGCCATGTGACTCAGATAACTTCCACTGCTAATGTCAATGTTGGACAATGTTAGATAATGTTGAAGGATCAAGATATCAGCGTAAAACTGAGCTTCTGTGGACCACACTTCTTTGTTATGCTCTACTGAACCCCTCTTGGGGGAAATTCTTTGGGATACACATTACCAGAGACTCATCCCTCATAGACAAGTTGGCTGCTGGTTACTGGAGGTTGGCTGCATTTACAGCCAGGATCAAAGGATATCACTAATTTTAAGGCCCTAGTGTTTAATTCAAATGTTATTTCTTGAGAGAGGACATTTACTTGTGAAAGTTATTTTCTGGAACTTGTTTCCTTTATCTGTCTTTGTAATTATAGGCTCAAATTGCCAGAGGAAGAAGCCTAAACCCTTAAAAATATATCTGTTTATCCAACTTCATTCTGATAGTATGCTGCCATATTCCAATTTGACAGTATAGTTTATTAAGTCCTCTTCCTTCACCTTTAATTCTCCTTTTGGCTTAGACAAGAGTTTCTCTAGCTTAGCACTCTTCTGAGTTGGGTGATTCTTTGCTCTGAGAGGCTGTCCTGTGCACTGTAGGATGATTAGCAGCTTCCCTGGCCTCTGCCCTCCACATTAGAGTACCATGCTCCCACTCCTAGTTGTGACCATTAAAACTGTCTCCAGACATTGCCAAATGTCTTTAGTTTCCAATAAAACAATGTTCTCCGTTAAGCAACATAATTTTTTAGTGTATGTATGTCCCGTATGACATTTCAGAAATTTATCTGAAATTCAAATTTAACTGAACATCTTATCTTTTTAGTTACAAAATCTGCAGTCTATCTACGGGCAAGATCACCCCTGGTTGAGACCCAATGGCCTAGAGTTAAATCCAAGTGTTTTACCAATTGCAACGAGTCAACTGCTTTTTTCATTGGTTTGTTTATTGAGCCAACCCTACATCATTTGCAATTATAATGAGTATTGTTCCTTTAGAACCAGATGTTGTCAAGAGATGCAGAATCTAATAAAATGAGTTTTGGTCCTGATCGAAAATTAAAGAAACATTTAGAGCTCAGTCAGGGAGGAAAGAGCTTGAAGAAGAAAGCTAGCAGCAACCTTAGCAGAGAAGCAATGACAGTGAAGAGTTCTGTCCACACAATTAGTTGAAAGAGCTTACAAAACAGGCTACCAGAGGTTACAAAATATTGCATAACAGAGTGAAGTACCCAATGGATATACCATTAATGTTTTTCTAAGTCAATGGGAAGACACTTAAATATCTTAAGAGACTACAGAAATACAAAATCAAACCAAGCCAAAGAGGAAGTCAGCTGCAATTTTACTGGGTATTGCAGACTTCCCTCTCCTCCAACGGAAGAATTAGCTAATTCTTAAACTCCAGGGAGGCTGGCCTCGATGCCAACTGCACAGTGAAACATAAAATCTTTGAAATAATTATAAAAATAGCTCAGTGTATCCACCAGTGGAGTAAGAAGAATTTCCTTGAATACTAGGCACAGGCCTAGTATTCTGGTCACTACTTTCTGGCCACTAAGGAGCCTCAACCGATTGGGAAAATCACATCAATTTGTCTGAGATGGTTGAACTATTTCTTCCACGATATTATTGAGCAAATAGACTTGCTGCCCTGTGCTCACAGAAGCCAATACCCGGAACACTGGGTTTTGAGGAAAGAAATATTTATTAGGAGACAGGAGGTGGGCTGAAATCTGTCTCCCCAATTTGGAATCCAAGAAAATGTATGGCTTAGAGGGCACGGGAAAGGATTTAGGAATGTTGGCTTGGCAGGGACTGATTGAAGGGCTTCAGATTTGACCATTTAAGGAAAGGTATGTTGAAGCAGTTTTCAGTCCTGGATCTTCTGGGCCAATGAGCCCCTAGCTTCTGAAAGAGTTGCTACATTAGGTTCCCATCATGTTCTTGTCTTTTTGGTTCCCAGGGAAGGGATCATTGGTTCTAGGTGCTGTTAGAGGCAAAAGCATTTTAATTGTGTGTACCTGCACTAAATGACTTCCAGCTTTCAACTCTGTTATAGCTACAAAGTAACTTGACATTTGTTATCAACAAAGTAGGGCGCATTTGGGCTGCTCCCATGATTATAATGGGTGTGTGGACTGTTGGGTGTTTCAGTTCTAGGAAAGTTTGATGTGATTGTTTTCAGTTCAGAGAAAGTGTGTGAATAATTAATATTATATGTAGCATATAAAATGTTTACAATATTTAAGAGATTTGGCATACTAGCATGTTTGAGACATAAATTGATGATGCAATTTAAAATGCATCATAGAGTATTTGATTTTAGACTTATGATTTTAAATTGAATATTATAAAGGAATTTGGCTAAATGTGTGAATAGTATTAGAATATTTAAAACAACTTAAGATTTATTATGTTAGTAAATTTATTAGTTTACAAAACTGCATAAATAGCTGGAAAACTGTTCATTGTTAGGCTGAGAATTTTGAAGATTATTTTTTCAAGTTCTTTGCCAGACACATATGGCTCTCACAAATAGGTTTGTTGGTCTCTAGACTTTCTCAATGACCGCTGAAAACCAGATTTTGATTAGGAAATGTGTGAAATACAGTACCTTGGTTTGAACCCTGAGTCCTTCCTGCCAGTGTAAGAACGTTTCTTCCTCCCTTAATTTGCTTCCTTCTTTCCTGCATGTTACCACTGGCAGAGCAAATATGACTCAGAAACCGGCTCCTCAGGGTTGTAACATTAGATGATACAGGCTTGGGTCATTACACATGACACCAGTGCCTTTGTTTCATTGGGCTGGGCTCCCTGGAAGGTGTGCTGCTGCCTGAGCTGCTGGAAAACCACTCACAGGTGTTTGCTAGAAAAGCACTCCTGAGCCTTGCCACCAGCTTGGACTTCTAGGGACTTTCCTCTCAGCCAGGAAGGATTTTGATATTCATCAGAAATACCTCTGGAAGATTCAAGAAGCTGTAGAGGTGAAGTAAGCCTGTGAAGGACCAGCATGGGAATCCTATACTCCGAGGTACATCACCTTTCTGAAAGCAGAGTTCCAAAGATGTTAAAAGTTGCTCATGCTTTTCAAATGCAATTGTCTATCCCTGTTAATATATTTCTGTTTTGTCTGTTCAACTCCCTGGGGGAGTATTAAGTCAGAAAAAATAAAGTCCTATGTGTTATTCTTTTTGATATTCTTAATAGTTTAAGACAAAGTATTTTGTAATTCTAAAATATTAGCTAGATCTAAGTTGAGATGAATATAACACATATTTCATAGTGTCTGGATGTTTGCAGGGATAATGTGGACAAAATTGAGTTTCAGTTGTGCTTTTCTCATGACAAACGCTCAGAGAAAAAGAGAAAATTTTACCCAATTGGATTTTCTAAATATCCAAAAGATTGACTGCCTCTTTTATGGAATCACATGACCAGAGTAATGCCTTTCAGTTTGGTATTTGAAGGGAAATTCACCCTTAGTAATTATTAGTAAAGACCATCACTATGAAGAAGAGGAATAATAACAATATATTTTGATAATCTGATTATTTTCTTTTCACATCTGATACTATACTTTTACTTGTATTGGAAGTAACTTATTAGAATCAAATGGATTTTTAGTAATGTTTCAAGAAAGTACAAGCAAGGAATATTTAGACAAGAGTACAAGAGGTGTAATGATGTCATTATACATAATTTACAACCTCTCCTCTCTGACACAATGAACTGGTTAATCTGCATTTCATTGCAGATGCTCAGGGGAACCTCCTTGGATAGTTTTGATCTCCCAGTATTAAAGACAGTTTATTTGCAGTTATTTCTAATGTCATGTGTGTATATCTCTCTGTGTGTGAAAACATACTGTTTGATTGGTTTATAACTCTAGGTACGTCTTGCTCAGTGATTTTAGTCTCATGAAGAGATAATATACATGAAAATGACAAAACATGTAGTGCTCTTAAAAGCTACTCTGGTAACTCTCAAACTTTAGATTGTCCAAGTGTCAGGGAAAGAAGTTTGTCCGAAATGCAGTTTCAATGGACTCCAACCCAGAGTCTGTTTCACTCAGTCTGTGGTAGGACACAAAAGTATACTTTTTAGAAGGAGCATCCCAGGTGGTTCTGACACAGGGGTGATCTGTTTACCACCATCCTGAGAAAGAAAGACTACCACAGGCCAGTGCTTTTCCAATTTTAATGTGCATACAGATCTTCTGAAGGTCTTGTTTAAATGCAGATTTTCAGTATGTAGATCTGGGACCTAAGATTCTGCATTTTGGTTGCTTTTTCGGATTGCATATAGGAATTATATATGATTTGGAAAAAGAAAAAAAAAAAAAAAAAAAAAAAAAAAAAAGCCTAGTCTCATCCTCAGGTATTCTGATGTAGGAAGTTGGAAGTAGGACCTTTCATTCAATTTTCTGACATAGAAAGTTGGAAGTAGGACCTTTAAATAGTAATCTCTTAAATCTCTTAAATATTTAAACATAGCCTACTCATTTGTTATACACCATTTGCTCTGTGTTTCCTAAGAATAAAGACTGTGAGCTACTCATTAAGGACAAGAAAAAGCCTGCTGGATCCCTGGTCCTATGTTGCCTGGAAGAATCTATTTTTTTAAAAAACTTCCCCCAATTTGAGTGTGGGAAGCTTCTTTAGATTGGGGACATAGGATTACCATTTTTTCCTTAGAGCTTTGCAGTGCTAATAGTTATGCAATATATATACACACACACACATATATACACACATATATATACACATATATACATACATAAATATACACATACATACACACACACACACACACACACACACACACACACACACATATATATATATATATATTTTTTTTTTTTTTTTAGGCGGAGTCTCACTCTGTCGCCCAGGTTGGAGTGCAGTGGCGCGATCTCAGCTCACTGCAATCTCCGCCTCCTTGGTTCCCGCCATTCTCCTGCCTCAGCCTCCCGAGTAGCTGGGACTACAGGCGCCCGCCACCACGCTCAACAAATTTTTTGTATTTTTCAGTAGAGACGGGGTTTCACCATGTTAGCCAGGATGGTCTCGATCTCCTGACCTCGTTATCTGCCCGCCTTGGCCTCCCAAAGTGCTGGGATTATAGGAGTGAGCCACCGCGCCTGGCCACAATATATATTTTTAAGAAAGAAGGAGAGAATGAGGGAGGATCCCAGAGAGTTGGTCCTGAAATCTGCACTAGAGGATAAGCTTAGAGCTCTGTGAGAGGCCCTAATTTTGAATAAGTAACTCCAACTGTGTAAGATGGACTTTTAAACAAGGCTGATTCTTTTAAACCCTTATCAAATATATTTGTTCATAATATTTACAATAGCAACAAACATTTATTTAGAGCTTCTTATATATCAGGCCCTATTTTAAGCACTTTATATGTATTAACTCATTTAATACAGCAATCTTATAAGAGTCACTTTTAGTATCCTTATTTTACAAATGAAGAAACTGAGGAAAAGATAGTCACTGGCTCATAGTTATACAGTTGAAAAGTGCTTATTGGCTGGAGATTAGTGGCTAGGAGGAGTCCTGTGTTTACTCATTCAAAGAGATTCTTCTTACATCACTGCTGAACTACTAAATTCTTTTACTACTTGTTATTTCAAAAGATATGTCATGCTCCATAAGAGAGCTGGTCTTAACCACTCTGCTGTTCTGCCACTGTTCTAACTAGGATGGTGCCCTGTTCCCTTAGTGGAAAGAATGGGTAAAATAAATCCAGGTCCAATGAGGTACATTCTACTCCTACCTTGCAACAGAGAACTGTTGCATTGTGAAGTAGTACAAAAATTGGAAAGAAGAAAAATGCTGAGAACTTAAAAGAGTTCAGGAACTAACACTCAGAAGACTTAAAGAATATTTTATAGACTTTTGATTCTGTCAACTGCAGACATAGGCGCCAAAAAGTGTTTCTTGAAAATCGTATCTTAAATGATGTATTCCTTTAAACACTGGGAAGATTTCATTATAAGGCAGTAAGTAAAAGGATACACACACACACACACATGCATGTGCACACACAAACTTAAAATTAATCCTTTGGCAATAGATATGTTTTTCAGAGAAGCTGATGTTACTCCAGAAAAAGGAAATACAGTTCAAAAAACAGAAAGATTGTCTTGAAATATACAATGCCTAGGGAGAGCAATTTAGGTCAAGCAAGTTTTATTGGAAAAGCTGGTACAGTTGAGGAGAAGTCGGGGGTACAGGAATAGAGATGTGACTAATTGAATGGCCATTGGACTGAAAGTCAAGAAAACCTACATTTTAGTCCTGATTGTGCCAGGAACTTCATGGGACTTGAGAGGAAGTCATTTAACCTCTCTGAGTCACAGTTTTAATATTATAAAGCAAGAGAGCTTAACGAGATCTGGTTTAACATTTAACATCGTGTCATTCTGTGATATGAGAAAGGCAAGGCAGAGACAATGGGGAAAAATTGCATTCTCACAATCTTCTCAACTCTCTCCATCTACTTTGTTTATGTATGAATTCCTAGAAGGATTTGGGTATTCAACAACACATGCAAGAAGAGCATCAGGCATTTTCATCCCAATTGGTTTTCTACTTCTTTCCTTGTATATTGAAAGCAATTTTACAAATTATAATGTTGTGCTAAGTCACAACAGTTCAGAAAGAAAATGATAACTTTCACATATGAAAAGACACCAGGATTGAAAATGTGTATACATTTATTTATTTAGTCATTAACTCATCCATTTGTTTAATCAACCATATTTATTGAGTACATATTATATTTCAAGCATCTGCTAGTTCCTGGTATATATATGTATGTTGGGCATCCCTAGTCTGAAAATTTGAGTGGAAGTGCTCCAAAACCCCAAATTTTTGAGCACAAACATGAAACAAGTAGAACATTTCCTATTTGACCTCATGTGATCATGAGGGTCACAGTCAAAATGCAGGTGCACAATGCACAGTTTATTCAGCATTAACAAGAGAAAAAAGATTTTCCCAGCCCCTTTCAGCTGTGTTATCTTTCTCTTGCACACCCAGATTTTCCCATAAATTTCCCATAAAATCCCCAAAAACAAGTCCACAAAGGGTAAAAAATGACACCTGCGCAGGATGAATGAGCCTACAGCAGATTTGCCACTCTGCCTTAATGGGGTCAAGATTTATATGTATTTCTCTGTGTGTGTGGTTTTTTTTCTGTTGTTGTTGTTATTTTTCTCTACTCTGTGATGTGAATATACTACTGAAAATATCAAAAAAGTCTGCAGATAGTTATGGGTAACAGTAATAAGAAAAAAGGAAGCATTTATGTATACTTATAACAGAAAGTCAGCTTTTGGATAAATTGGACAGTGGTATGGGTATAAAATGTCTTATAGAAGAGTATGGTGTTGAGGTCAGGTGCGATGGTTCATGCCTATAATTCCAACACTTTGGGAAGCTGAGGCAGGTGGATTACCTGAGGTTGGGAGTTTGTGACCAGCCTGGCCAACAAGGTGAAACCCTGTCTCTACTAAAAACAGAAAAATTAGCTGGGTGTGGAGGCACATGCCTGTAATCCCAGCTACTTGGTAGGCTGAGGCAGGAAAATCGCTTGAACCTGGGAGGCACAGGTTGCAGTGAGCTGAGATCACATCACTGCACTCCAACCTGGGCAACAGAGTGAGTCTCCATCTCAAAAAAAGAAACAATGAAAAAAGAGTATGGTGTTGAAATGACCACCATATATGACTCAAAGAAACAGAAGGATAAACTGTTGAAGTCCTATGCTGAAGTTAATGAAAAATTAAACAAACAAACAAACAAAAAAACACTCCACAAAGCTTCATTTGTAGCTTTTTTTTAACACTGATAATGAGGCTCCAGTTGTTCATTTATTAACCAATGGTGAAATAGCTGAAATTGTTCAAGGTGATTGTGATAATAGTGACAATGAGGATGGTGGTTGACACTGTAAAGAGGGTGTCAGGGGCCAGATCAGGCAGGTCTTGTAGGCCAAGATGAGAAATTTAGATTTTTTGCA